TCGGTCCACAGTGGAAGGCTCCGCACCTGAGCCTCGTTAGACTCAGCTGAAGTGTAAGGTGTAAGTGAAGAAAATAGAAAGATCACGATTCAACGCCAAAAAATTTCTTGTCCCTACCATAAAGTATTCATATTTCCTGAAGTTCGGTTTGAGTGTTCATCGATCAGGTGGCTTCTTTAGCACTGGCTTACTCACAGGAAGCTGGCCTAGCAGATGACTCTTAGTTAGACTGGTACTAGTTAGGATATCACATAAGGAGAATCCCATTCGACCGCTCTACCACTGAGCTACTGAGGAACAACTGACTTAATGTTGGAAGAGGTAACTATGATGTAGAGAGATTCAAGAATTTATGAGTTGTGAAAAAGCCTCCTACCACGTTATCTCCCTAGTTTAATAAATTTCTTCTATATAGTCTTTGTTGAATTTTTTGCCTGTGGCTAAATAATTCTTGGGATATTTCAATCCTTCGATGGTTAAAGAGAACTATTTATAAACTTTCTCTAATTGATTTCTTGTATTGTTTCACTAATTGTTATATTTTAAATTGATTTTCTATTAAAAGATAATTAAAACATAATTGTGACTAGAACTTATTAAATAATACTATTATGTGATTAAAGTAGTTGAAACAACAAAAAGTTAGAAACATTCAATAATCACGCCGCATCAAGCAATATTTGGTATCCAAGCGTTAATAAGTGCAACTTATTGAAGGTACGTGTCGGGCACAAGTCGTAAGCGGAGCTCCAGATCCATTTCATTCAATTGAGTCGGGTACAAGAAAGAAAGCTTCCAACACAACTTGTCATCTTCAATTCGTCCACGAATCCATATCGTTTGCTTCCAGAACCATCGACGAGTTTGGCAATCTCATTTTCTTCTGTAGATGACAAAGTTGTAGGCTATGGCATCGTCGTCGAGTTCTCTGATTCGTCGAATTGTTCCGCTTTTCACCACTCGGATTCGCCAAAATTACCGCCTTTTGAATTCATCTGCTTCTTCTGCTCTATCCCAACCCCAATCCCAACCCCAAGTCGAAGCTCCCGATTCCGTCTTAATGACCGAGAGCTGCGTTCGTGTAAGTTTAATATCTCTCTCTCTCTAGTCCGTTATGATTGATTTTATTTGGGATAGTCTTTTTGTCGCTATATCTTTCCGTATGTGCATTTTGTAATAGAATTTTTCCAAGGATTTTATGCTGTCTATTTTTGAAGCATCACGAGACTTGCCCTTTTTGTTTAATCAGCTGAAATTTTGTTTAGTTGTTATGTGAAAGATTGTTAATTTCGAAGTGAGTAGCTCCAAACTCCATTTCTGAAAGGGATTTTCTTGAAATGGGGATTTTTTTTGGTTCTGGAAATCGTGATACATACGACTATGTGAGAGCATAATCAGTTAGACGACAAGATTCAAGCTTTTGTACTGTTTTATGAGGTTTGATGTCTGTAGAGATTTAGGTGTCTGAATTGCTTGTAAAATTTAGTTGAGACAATTCAATGACTTGGTCCTTTTACATGTCTGAGTAGAGGATGAAAGAGTTGCAAGCTGGCGAACACCAAGAGAAGATGCTTCGTTTGAGTGTTGAAGCTGGTGGTTGTTCGGGGTTTCAATATGATTTCTCTCTAGATGATAAGACCAATTCTGATGACAGGTTTGCTGACGTTTTCTACTATTTGTCAGCCTATTCAATTTTCGAGTATTATGTTATCCTTGCATTAGTTTTAGAGCGCCCTATTTGTCTTTCCTAATTGTCTTAAAACTAATTATCGAGTATAATTGATTGATTGCTGAATCATGTTCTAGGTGGTCATAGTAAATCTAACAGATTTTGAAGTATGAATTCGGCATCCTACTCCCTGCCTTCCCACCCTGCAAAGCCACTTAAAATGCACTTTTGTATCATATGTTACTAGTATTAAGATCTGTCAGTATGTTGCTTATGTTGCCATCTTATTCATTTCTTATTCTTCATAGAATTTTTGAGCGCGACGGAGTTAAATTGGTCGTGGATAATGTATCATACGATTTCGTCAAAGGTGCAACTGTTGATTATGTTGAGGAGCTGATTCGCTCTGCTTTTCAGGTCTGTAAATGTAGCTTTCCATGACCTTCATCATTGGTATTTTCTTGCATGTCAGATACGCAAGCATATTGATGTTTTGGATCAATTGCATGACGGATATTGCTATTCTCTTTTTCAATTATTGTTCGATGAGGCAATAATTAGGACAGGTCATTAGCTCAAGCCCAAAAACACTTGTCATTCTCAAGTATGATTGTACCACTGACCACTTTATTAGCCTGGGTTAGAAAATAGAAGTTTTACCTTCAAGTAGTTTATCTAGAAATTAAAGGTGTCTAACTCATATAGACAGAATTCGTATTTTGAAAATGCATGAAGTTATGTTTCAAATTTAACTGCTTGTGGAGTAGGGAAAGATCAATTTAGACTTCAGCAAATTTTTTGTGTCTTCTGTCTTGTCATGTATGGAACAAAGAATTAGTTGATATTGCAAATGTTATCTTGCACCACGTACTGTATTGAAACTGTGGTTTCTTCCTCTAGACAACCCTCATCTTCTCCCTAGAGCCTATCAACTGAGAATGTATCAGAACAGAGCAAAACAAATGAAAAGAATAACACATTATGTTGTAAAAAAACACTGTATTTGAAAGGCGCAACTTTGATAAGTAGATGGATGCTAGAAATAATGGACTTGTGCTAAAATTATTTATCAACAAACAAAAATCTATATGTTGGCAAAACACAGGTAAAATGACTCAGACCATATGTTTTACTAGTGTCAAACCGCCTTGATTGAACTTTTGGTACTACCTTCTAAAGGGGAATATGGTGTTAGTGCTTGGATGTTATTTTGTAGGAAAACAGTTGAAAAGCTTCTTAGATTTGGCAAAATTGCACGCCTGCAAGTTTTCTGGTGTTATCTGAGCTATAGGGAAATAAAAATCACACGGTGTTAGAAGATTTCATACGAGGGTGTGGTAGTGCATTACACGAATTTATACCATTATCCTAATGTTCACACTGCTCTAAGGATTTTCACCTGTTAAGTTCGATATATCTTTTAGCTGGCACTAGGACCATTTCATTTTGTGTTTGTTACTATGGGGTTATCATTTAACCGCTTTTGTGCATGTCTTATTTTTTCTGCAGGTATCTACCAATCCTAGTGCAGTGGGTGGGTGCAGTTGTAAAAGTTCATTTATGGTGAAGCAGTAATATGGCACTTGAGTAACATTCAGCCAAATAATTGCCATTCCAATGAGCAGGACATGTTTTGCTGCAGCCATATGACATTTTTTATATTAATCCTTCTGGTGTCTAATATCTATTCATCATATACTTCTACCTTTTGAGGGGTAGCAAGACCTGCATTATGAGGCATTTTTGCTAATTTGTACTCAAGAGATCATAGGTTCTTTATTGTATATGCCAATTTTTTTTGCCTTATTGGAGCTAGTTGGAAGTGCAGAATGTAACTGTTAAATTAGGGGAGACAGATAGGCTGTTGTATTATAGGCAATAATTCCAGTTGAAGAGATGCTATTCAGTTTTGGGTGTAGACATTTGTACAAGGAATCTTCAAGTGAAGATGCTTCAATCAGAACACATTTTACTCCTGGCACTCCCTATAGCTACTGTAATGAAGGCCCTGAGGGCATGTGGGAGAAGCATATTAGATAGTGTCCGTATCCTCTATGGTTGAAAAGTTTTGATCAATAAAAGCTTTCTTTAGGTTTTGCTGTATGAACTTTGAAATCTATGTTCATGTTGAAACTAAAAATCAGAAAAAGTACAATATAGTCTGAGCTGAAATTACTGAATTTGGACGTATACTTCGTTTGTGGATCATAAAGGTTGATTGGCTTTGCAGCTGGCTACTTTCATTTCTTAACTAGGAGACGTAAAAGGAGCATTTGCCTAAAACAGATGTGAAGGGTTCAGTTTGTGCTTATAAGTCTTTTGTATCTCACTTGCTTTGAAAACGATGAAAATCAATTACTGTTTGGGACAGGGTTTCTTCAAATTTTGATGGAACTCACCCTCTATGATGCAACAACTCTCAGGTGAGGGTAAAAAACTGGTACCAAAGATTGGGGATTCCCAATATGGAGGATTTTTATTTTTGGCAAGTGAAACATTTTTTATTTACCAAATAGAGTTATGTACAGACAACAAAAAAGCTGATAGTTGGACAGCAAGCCCCAACTCCAGCTACCACTCTACGCTACAATCACCTCAACTATTCTCATATTGACAATCCTAGCTATAATGGATAGAAATTTAGCTGCTCCAGCCATTTTGCAATCCTCTGCTTCATTGCTCCTCTATGATGCACATCTTGAACGATCTTTTTGATGATGACTTCCTTTCCTTGTTGTTTGTTGGTGAATACTCTTTGGTTTCTTTCATTCCAAATATAGTAAATTATTGCAGATAACAACATCCTATATACTGCAGCTCCAGGGCTCTTTCCACTTGCATTCTGAACAACCCACGTTAGTTCCTCATCCCAGCACTTAGAATCTCTTTTTATACCCTGCCATTGTAATATGTGTTTCCATATCTGTGTAGAAATCTCACATTTAAAGAACACATGCTCTATACTTTCATCTTCCAGATTGCACAGAGGGCAGGTTTTGTCTGCTACCACTCCCCATTTTATTAATCTATCTCTTGTGAGTAATCTTCTGTGTGCTGCCATCTTTAAGATGAAGATCCATTTGGGTAGGCCTTGGTTATTGCACATAAGGTTCCTTTGTAGAGGTCCTCTCTATGTTGTATATATCCTGCACCCCATAACCTGTCTCAATATAGTATTTCTTGGCTTTTAATATCTTCTGTACCACCCATGAAGCTTGTTGGGGAACATCTTCAATTAAATTCCTGCTTGTCCCATAGTACACATTAATCCACTTTACCCGTAGCTTGTCTTTCTTCTGACAAAGATTCTGTCACGACCCAAACCGATGGGCCGCGACGGGCACCTGGTACCTTACTCAACCGAGTACCAACGTAACGTATCTTTCTTATTACATCATCATATACACGTGACATACATGATCATTTATAAACTCAAAACATAGGCCGACAAGGCCGTACAATCTTTCACGTACACGACATATGTCTACAAGCCTCTAAGAGTACATAATTGTCATAAAGGTCGGGACAGGGCCCCATCATACTAATCAGTACATGTCCTAATCATACTGACCACATAAGCAACTCCGGAGCAAATGGAGCGCACCAACACTTTCCGTTGAGCTGATAGCCTACTTGGAGGACTCTCGACCTGTCTATCGGGACCTGCGGGCATGAAACGCAGCGTCCCCACGCAAAAGGGACGTCAGTATAAATAATGTACCGAGTATGTAAGGCATGAAGATCAATACATAAGAGACATAGATGAAACATGGAATAAATAATTTCACCTGTAAGTCTAAATAACTTTGTAAATTCTAAAACATTTATAATGTTATGCACGTGCGTATAAATGTCGTGTCATGCATAGGTGTAGGTGTACATAATATCATCAAGCCTCTGAGGGCATCCCATCATATCATCTCAGCCAATGTGGGCAAAATCATCAACGTATACCAGCTGATCAGGTGGTGGTGCGTATATAATGCCGTAACCTTTTTCCATATCCCATATACATATAATATACATGTATATAACACCATCTGGTCATGGGTCAATGTACATGTATAAATTCATGAAATGCATAAGAAATACGTTAATAAGATTTCTCGGAATGTCATAAAATCAATATGCCTTTCGGATAAACTTTATCAAATACGTATTTTTCTGAGACTCATGAACAGAAGATATAATAATATTTCACATGGGGAATCAAGAATATAGACACCCCTAGTACTCTATGAATAGAGTTAGTTGTGGAAATTGTGCATTTGCTCATTTCGTTTGTATCGTATTGATCATGCCAAAAAGAGAGAAAGGATATCTTTAACATACCTGAACCGATTCTCTTTTGCGAAAACACGTAACGGCGGATCGAAGTAGGAAAAAATCCGTATGATATTCGTGAGAAAGATCGTACCGTACTTCTTTAGAATTGCAAGTCACGTTGCTATTACATAACGTAATCTCGTATGGATGTTTTTATTGTAGCTTCATCCGCACTTTGTCATAATCTTCATCCGTATTGTTGTACTACAAAACTTTTGGCTCCACAAGTAAAGCTCCAAATAACCATGAAAGAATATTTGAAAGTGCAAAGCTCCATTCAAGGTAAAGTATTTTGTTTGGTTAGCTTCTAGGGAGGCTTGCTTTACTAGGAAGACAATAATTCCCTTTTTATTTGTTGCAAGGTTTTTCTCGGCAGCTTCATCCATAAGCTTAGCTAGCTTATGCATTTCCCTCTTGAATTATGTATAATAACCTCTTATCTTGGAGGTTTGTGGGCCCCCACTTTGTGGCTTAGTTGGCCAAAGACTACTCCACATTTTTCCATCTTTTATGTGATTTTAAGACTCACATAGTTGGTCTTAGGTGGCTGCCATGTTTTTGGCTTATAAAGATTATCCAATAACTTAATTAAGCTTATCCACAAATCCTTAATTAACTTGTTAATCTCCCACTAACAAATAATCCTCATAATTAAGACTTATCTCAATTTACTTAAAATACTACTCACTTTTAACACACTTCATATACCTCACTATCATAGCCATGTGGTACCTTGTATGGTACTAATGCATTAATACCGGGTATTTTAGCTCGGGCCGTATTTTATCCCAAAATATCAAATTTCGACGAAATTCATTTTCTTCGATTTGCTTACCCTCTCTCCTTCACGAATTTACTCATCATTTGTTTGAAATAGCATAATGCTTATAATCTCAAAATAATCTCATTCCCGAACTTACGTCGATTAACTTACGACGAAACTTTAACGTACGAAAATGTGGGATGTTACATCTCATTTCCAAGCTTTTATCAATTTATTTATGGCGTACTTTCACGTACGAAAATATGGGGTGTAATATCATTCCCCTTTTTGGAACATTCGTCCTCGAATGTTGACTGATGCACTTATCATTCTCATAACCCATAACTCTTGCAAATACTTTAATACTCTTCTTGCCATTTAGGCAACTGTTCTTTGAATAAATCCAAAGGCTAGGGCATTCCCCCCTTTAGGCCTCTTTCTCACACTATGGTCTGTGGTCAGAATTCTTCCAATCTCGTAACTCTTGCTACCTTCTATCATGCAGCCTGTACGACTTTTTCCTTGTATGTGCGCCTATACGACTCTTCTCTCCTCTTTCCTCCAGCTTTTAGCCAATATCTAGGCCTTACTTTGTTGAACTTACAAATATTGCTATATCTCATTTTGTATTTTGTAACTTTTATCCATGCATTGTTAATTTATCTCAATGTTGATCTACAATCTACCACTGGTAACTTGAAATCTCTTACGTAATCACTAGGCTCACGTTGCATCGTGGAACATTTGAAGTGATTTTCCTGATCCACCTAGGGGCGATACGATACTATACTTCCATAATCGTATTTCATACCATCCCAATGTGATTCTCCTTACGTGGGTATTTTAATCCTGTACAATTCATCAAATCTTTACTCAATCGAAGGCCCAATCGTCATCCTTTATCTATCACAATTACACCCTCATTGTACTATCAGGGCGACATTCCATCTCTTCTAAATGCCATTAGTCTTAGACTTCTTTGAGTTCATTCAGGCTTTACTGAGCTTTCTATAACTTAGAGAAATCATCAGCTCTCTTGTTTTCATTGGCTTAATCCTAAGGACTTATCCATTCTCGTCACCTTCTCACTCGCCCTTTCTTATCCTTATTCCTGTCATAAAACCTTGTCGCTTTACTATACTTTAGCTTGCGACCTATATGTATCCATTTATACTACTCGCAACCTTCCTTCAACTTGCTTGCACCACAGATTCCCTTATGTTATTTTGGAACATCAAGCGATACATCACATCATCTCAAACTCTTCTTTACTCTTTCATGACCTGCCTTCCACATAGGTATAATTCACGTTCACAATTTGAAGCTCTATTATAATACTTGCACCTCTGGGCATACACAATTCCGTGGGAGCTTCATACTGACTTCTTATGAGGCTGGTACTTCTTCTAACTTGCTTTATCATAGAGCCGTTATAGAATATGGTTGTTGTACTATCTCTCTTGTACCTCTGATATTAAGAGTAATTATTCAATATTCTCAATCACGATTTCTATAATTTTCTGGGTCTACTAATCAGACTCCTGATTTACTTCGTTAATGTAACTCTTTAGTTTCCTCTTCCTTCCGATCAACCTTTATGTAAGCTTAAGCTATCTCCCGATCTGTGGCTTCTGGTATCAGTTATTACTTTAGCCTTTCATGGGCGCTATGGAATATCCATGATACAATCTTCTAACAATTCAATCCTTTATTTATGCCCTGGGCTCAATTCTTTATTTTAACTTATACCGGAGTCTTCTACGGTTATATGATTGTCAACATATATGCTGCATGGATAATACTCTGAAATCTTAAGTGAGTTCATAATGTAATTATCTTCCGGATCATTGATCGAATAATTCCTTTCGTTCCTTTTCAACTTTCTTTAATTGCAAGCAATTGCTTTTCCTGGTCGTTCTGCCACCTTGTTGCGTGCATACTTAGCTTATCTTTGTTCCCACGCATGCCGGAATTTTCGTGCAACTCATATGATCTCGAATATTACTTTTGATTTTACTTCCCGTTCATTAGCCACGGTAGGTGCCACTTTCTTATGGAGTGCATACAATGTTGTAGTGAGATTGTTGTTACAAGACCATTTCTTCTTTAGGTCACTCTGCTTAGGTTGAAGCCTTTTTCCTTATTTCCTCAGCTAGTCTTTCATTGTCGTACTTTAGGGAGGACCCTCTGACACTTGTAAAGCTGCGATCTTATTACATCGTATACTCGACGAAATTTTTGATGTCCCTCCTCGCCTATAATTATCCATGGTTACTTATCTCCACGCCCTTGTGCTTGTAGGGTTGCTTCTGAACTTGATATTTTGACTATCTTCCCAGTGGCACTCTCTTTTATTTCCTTTAACTACCCCAACTCCTATCTAAATATTTCTCAAGGTCACGATGTCATATCTGTGAGATTGAATTCCCTATGTTGGGGTTCACTCTGTTTATCTTGCATGATCTATTGATTTGTCTGTATCCTCTTATCTAGCCATAATTAGGCTCTTCCTGAATCAACTATTAACTACTCGTTGGCCCATTCTCATATCAATATTCTGCGTAATCTTTCTTGGGTTATTTCCTTTGTCTTAACTTACGTCTCGCACTGGCTCCTTATATATCAATAACATCTCGGGAAGGAACTCTTACTTCCTCTCATTGACGTCGTGTTTGCATAATGTTGTGGAATCGTAGCATATCTATAGGATTTGAATAAGTGCAATCTTATCCCTTTCTTATTTTTATCGCATTCTTCCTTTATCATTCCATAGTTACTAGAACCACTTAATTTTGACTTAATGCCACATCAATCCATATTCCCTCCCTTTAGGGGAGCACTAACATTTAGTGCTACGATGATCTATGTTAAATGTTTTACCTCTTCATCTTTGGCATCTTTTCACATCTTCGATGAACCTTACTCACCTTGCGGTAATCCTTCTGCACCAAGGATAACGAAATTCCTTACTC